GGGGGGTGAGAAGTATCTTGTAGTTTAGTTTAGTAAATACAACTGTTATCGAGTCAATTATAAAGACAAATGAAAAAAAATATGGCAAGGTGGATTCATTTCTTTGCTAGATACAGTGACTTCACAGAGTCTAAGCTAAGCCACACCTGGGGTCTGTTCCAGCAGGTATAACACACTCAGAACCTCACCTTAAATTCTGAGTTCTCTCACCTCAAGATAGAAATTAGCATCAGCCAGGTAAAAAAGCATATTTACATGTAGTAGTACAGGATGATATTAGTATGAGAAAGATCCATTTTCTTCCACTAATCCAATAGTGGAATAGGCTGGACCCTATGCCTGTATTAATTGTATATAATTGCCTGTAATTGTAATAAATTGATGTTTTAAACTCTTTTCAGAAGAAAAGTAAAATAAATAGTAAAATAAATAAAAAATACTCTAAGTTGTTTCCAATGAATGAATACTCTGGGCTATTGTGTTCTTATCAGATCAGTAAATGCTCACTTAAATGGCTGATAAAATTAAAATTAGGTATCCTATATCTTATTACTATATTTTAGAAATACACTGTGAAACCTCTGAGTTTTGTAACTCAGAAAAACCTATTAACTTTGCAATCTCAGCAATGTTAATGGAGTTTAGTATGAAGGCAGAGTCTGTCTCTATTGCTCTCTTTTACTTTCTAACTGACAAGCATAAGTATGTGGAGACTTTAGTAGCCCATGTCAGGTGTTGAGGCGACACATTCTGAACACCAATGCCTGGAGGGAAGATATGGACAGACAAGCAAACCAACAGATGGATGGACTGAAAGAGCGAGGGGAAGAGGGATGGAAAGGGAATGGTTGGACGAGTTTAGCGACTGGGAGTGATAGAAGTGGCCGTCACGGGGGAGATATCAAGGGAGGAAAGGAGGTACGGATGGAGGGATGTAGCGGAAACTGAGAGAATGAGGTGTAGAGGGAGGGGAAAAACCCATCTTTCAATTTACAATTCCGCTGACAGTTTTCAGAGACAGCTAAAAGAGAGAGAGCGAGAGAGCGTGCAAGAGAAGAAACAGAAAAGAAAGAAAGAGAGAGAGAGAGAGATAAGATGTGAGGGACGGAAAGATAGAAAGTTGAAGAGAGAAGAGGAGGGGGCGCCTCGGCAGATTACCTGTCAACCTCTGTGATTAATGTTGAGACCAGAATACTGCTGGGCCTCTATGTGTGTGTGCTTGTGCGTGTTTGAAAGCCTCATGACACAGGCCAATAGCATCAGAGTGCCCCCGGAAATTGGAAGTGACTGCCATAACTTCCTGCCTGTCTGTCCACATACTTTTACTGGCTGTCTTTTATGTGTCTGCTCGCCTCATTTGTCCATCCAGTTTTTTTTTCATTCTCTGTTTGTGTGTCCAGTTTTGTTCTTTGAGTGTGTGTCTCTTTTGACTTTTCCATTATTAATAATCCCAAGTGTTTTTTTAGTTGTAACACACATCTTTCCCAAACCTTAGACACGCTGATTTATAGTATTTGCTAAAAAGATGGCAACTTGAGTATATACAGATAAAGCAATATTCATGCATCATTTTACTGTCTAATGGCTAATTTGGCAAGGGACTGCCAAGCAACCAGGTTTGCTGTTTGTTAGTGGGAAGCTCCAAAGACTTATCCAAATGGTTAGTTTTAGTTAACTGAACAAAAGCATCTTTCATTCCAGCAAAAAAAAAAAATCTATATTGTACTCCACATACAATTTCTGGTTAAATTGTACCCATTCATCTCTGAATCACAATGGTGACTGTGTAGGACTTTCTGTGTGGAGTCTGCATCTTCGAGTTTCCTCCTGGTACTCCAGCTTGTTCCCACAGTCCAAAGACATGCATGTTTAGGTTAACTGGTCATTCTAAATTGGGCAGCTATGTGTGATAGCTAAAGTGCAAAGAATAAATCACTGTATGGATGCATGATTAAATGTGGCTTGTAGTCTAAAGCACTCTGTGAGGTCTGCGAGATTAGAAAAAGTGCTATATAGTATGATGGTCCTTTGATTCCATTAAGCACTAACCATGGCAAGGTTAGTCATTTTATTCCCTTTGTGGGAATAAAACTCTAAAGCTATGTGTTGTATCAAGGTGGGCCATGAAATGAATAATTAAATTTCAATGCTTGAGACAAGATGAGGAATCTACTCAAAACCTTTTTTTCATAGCTTGTCAGAATGCTGACCTTTTAATGCCTGTGCCAGCTGAGCACCTGGCTCCAGAAGTGAACTGTTACATCCCATAAAGAACAGAACATTGAGGTTAAATATAGTATCACCATGGGGATCCTAATACTATCACTTTTTCCCCCTCCTACTTTTCATGGCGGTGTATGGGTGAAAGAAGATAGGAGATGAAATTCTTTTTTAACCTAAAACTTTTTATTCACTTTCTAAAAGTTAGCACTATTGATCTAAGCTACGGAAAAGAAAGGGTGACGTGTTTGAGAGATTACAACAGTAATCATACCTTGCCCTATTGTCTTAATTGACAAGGAAGAGGGGAACCCATAAAAAAGTTTTTTAAAAAAAGTACTGGAAGAAAAGCCTGTGGAAAGAACTGCTTCTTAGATTTAGGTTGAGATAAAGTCTTATATTTTAGGGCTTCTGACGAACTATCCAAACTGATTGTTTAGTCAGAAGCCTTTTAAAATGACTCATAAGACCACAAAAATAAAACATGGATATTTTCAGATCTGCCAAATCACAATTAGGCCAATGCTGTAAAACAATCCAAGGTTTATAAAGATGATTTTGTAACAGAAATACCAGTAGTCATTTGATCATTACTGTTTACCCAGAGCCTTCCCCTGTGATAAGCAAGAAATGTGAGCTATGCATCTGAATGGCTGTTTGTTTGTCCTTGTCTTGCCCGTGCAGCCACTGACCAGCAGCACCAGGGAATTAAGTTTATCTTCAGTACAAAACCTCTGTGTCCTCTATGTAAGTACACTTACCTGCAGTGTACCACTATGGGTCCGGCATCTGGAGGGTTGAGGAACTTGACCTGTCGTATGAAGCCAAGCAGTCCTGTGGCATAACACGGAACGCCGTGGTCGGGCCAGCTGGTGAAATGAAACTGACGGAGTTCACGGATCTCATGATGGCCCTTCTGAAAAACATGCACAGAGGGAGATGTTATGCTAAGTAGCATATTTCATAATGGCAGTTTCACGAAAAGAGTCTGTCTCTTCATGAAAAGTGTTGGCCATTTTGCCTCTTGATGATGACAAATGGCTGAATCTTACAAACTGTTTCATTGCTCTTTTGGGGAAGACTGACAAGAAGACATATCATGGTTCAGGACCCTAATTTACAGCAGGGATTTCAGGAATATGGGGGCCTTGATGCCTCTTCAGATGAAAAATAAATCAATCTCATCGTGGATGTCAAGATGGCACTTTGGGCCACTTCGGGGAATGAGAGGCAGGAAGACTTATTGTGGCTCATTTGCCTAATTTACAGGGGAGATTTGAGGAAACTGAAGGCCATCTCGCTCTACAAAAAGATTAATTGATTTCACAAATCTCATGATGGCCCTTTTGGGAAAGACTTGCAGGAAGAAATGCCACGGTTCAGTTCAGCTGCCCAATTTACAAGGAGATTTTGAATATCTAGCAATTATCCAACTGCTTGTTATTGTATGAAGTGCTCAGCGATAACAGAAAGCATTTAAATATGGAATGTGTTTTAATTAAAAAACATTTGTTTCTGAGAAAAGTTTTGCTGCATGACAGACCAAATAAGTTTCAAATGTATAAACAAGATACCGTTGCTTATAAAAAGGATTAAGATAAAACATAATTTGGAAAATCCACTTCTTAGATATAAAGAGAAACAATCTGCTATATAAAAGTGTAGATTACAAAAAAACAAAATGACAAAACATGTGTGTGACAGGATCCTGACATTTTCATGATGTGCTTTCCGGAAACACATAAACTACAGAATATCTCCTCATCTTACAATTGGAGTATTAGGATGCTAACAATGACATATGATACTTAATAGATAGCAGTGAAGTCTCACATAACATTGCTTCCTTGAAACATGGACATACAGTCTCAGGACTGTGGTGTGCAGTAGGTTCATGCTTATCAGATAAAGAAACAGAATTACTTTAAGTCTGGATCCCCAGACAGGCTGCATTTGAGGGCTGGAAGTCAAAAAAATCTGTTATGACTCTATATATCGTCTCCAATATTGAGTTATGAAAGAAAACTGCGTATTAAGCAAAAAGTAAGGCCACATCCACAGAAGCCAATCCTATCCGAACAATTCGGAACAGCATTATACATTTTTCTCTTTTCCGCCCATTTCTTTTGGAATGTTATCATCTGATGACAAAGAACACATTGGAATCCTACAGTCAGGGGTTATTGGAAATGAAACCTTTGTGTCATTGTTACAGTGCCAACACGGCAATTCTTTCATCAATATGAATTCGAGTGAAAAGTTTTTTTTTTGTTTTTTTTTTTTAATTTAGGAATATGATTCCAGGGAATCACACACCTTATACTAAAGCTTCAGGACTCCTCTGAAGGCATAATGTATTCTGACAGTGTATAACTTTGAAAGTGTATGCCACCTGCACGAGGCAATCAGAAGGCTAAGAGGGATCTTGCCTCAAGTTTCCTATTTTGAGTTCTGACCTGCATATCCTGGTGGTTCAACTGAATCTCTCCTCACTGGATATAGAAATGTATTTTTTAAATCCTTTCTTCAGCTTCCATCAGTTCAGGTTTTTTTTCCTACAATACTGCACTCTTCTGCTCTAATAACTCAAACCGATCGATTCTATTATATTATTCTAAACTAAACGGGGCTCAGTCACGTCCTCCCCAGTTCAGTTACTCTCTAAGAATAGAGTTGAAATGAAACTGCGTCTTCCATTCTGGCTCTGTAATATACAAGGTTGTATTGAATTATTTGTTGTGACAGACTATCTGATAATAACCCGAGAAGCACGGGTAACATAGGAAGTGGGGTTGGTGTTCAGAACCTGAGACTGAGTGGGAAAGAGCAGAGGTTAAGGAAGAGAGTAGGAAGTGGTGGGCTGAGGAAGGAGTGAGGACAAATATGATGAAAAAAGGAGGAAGAGAAAGATCAAGGAGAGAAACATGGACACGCGACGTATGTGACAGAGACTTGAAGTGAGAAAGAAGGAAAAAAACTGAAGACCGCAAGGCGATTTGATAACTGGACTTTCCATTGATTTGCACTCCTGTGATGTTAAAATTACTTCTCTAAATCAATAGACAACAGTCCAACAGAGCTAGAGACACAGAGACGGGTAAAAGAAAACAAAAATAAAACACTGGTATTGAAATGTTGGAAATTGGTGATGAGGAACTCAGAACACTTTAAAAGCTCTCCCTATTCCTCTAACCCTAACTTGCAATAGATACATAAAAAATAAATGTTTTGATGGATTGAAATTATCCCTCATTTTCAAATGCATTTAAATCCAGTCTCAGTTTCACTGGTACTCACGTTACTTGTCTTAGCAAGTTTATACTTTGCAAATCCTCTGCTCTGTAAGAAACACATATATAAATCTGCGTGACAACATTTTAGAAAGGTTTATTTGACATCAACAATCCTTACATATCTTTTATTGTTAGAATTTGTTTTGGTGTCTGGAACAGCCTAGAATCACCGTAAGGGGGAGTTCATCCTGACACTGGAATTTGTTGTCCACAACAATCCCTTATGCTGTCATGTCCTCCTTATAATCACTTAAATATGAGTCCAGCACTTCAAACCCTCCATAGAAAATAAAAAAGAGACTGTATGTTTAGCCTCAAAAGTTGAGGTTAAATGTCATGGCGACATACCAGTACTGTGGAAATGTCTTGATTCAGCCATCATTTCTTTATATTTTGCTAGTATATAAGGAAAAACAGATTTAATATAATTCTAACAAGTTTGAGAGTCAGTATTCAGTATATCCACCGTTTTCTGAACTCGTTTAGGCATGCTTCTAATAATTTCTTGACGTAGTGTTCAGGAATAGTTTTCCAGTCTTCTTAAAGAACATTCCAAAGCTCTTCTTTGGATGTTGGCTGCTGTTTGTTCCATTCTCTGTCAAGATTATTCTGCACTGATTCAATAATGTTGAGGTCTGGGAAGGCTAGTCTATGACTGATAATGTTTCATTATCTGTTCTTCTGTCCTGGTAAGCATTGACTGCATTGACTGTGTGTTTGGGATGGTTATCATGCTGAAATATGAAGCTGGTGCCAATCAGATGCTTTCCATATACTCTATTGTATAGAGTGATAGTATTGTATTCTAAATTAAAATCGGATACTTTATCAGATAACTCAGTTTTGATAAAATCTCCAACACAACTGGCTAAAACGCACTCCCAAACTCTGACAGAGCCTCCACTGTGTTTTACAGACGGTCGTAGACATTCACTGCAAACTGAAAGTGAAACTTTCCGTTCTTGTGTAATACCCCTTTCTCCCCTGAATGGCTTTTGTCCCTGGCGAACAGAAAATGAATCAACTAAAAGCTTCTGTATTTCTCCTATTTTCCTATTTCTTAAGGACATGAGTTTCAGATGCTTTTCATCTACTGAAGATTGTTTTTAGGCCTTCCGGTTTGTCCTACGCTTGAACAGTTTCCTCAAATTTTCAGCTAACAGGTCTTTGGAAATCACCTTGTTGGTGCAAAATACCTGCCAAATGCCTGTCAAGTTGTGTCTTCCTTTGAATTTTTTAACTCAAGAAATGTTGTTGTAACAGGCTTGTAGTAAGAACAATATGTGTAGACACAGCACTGGCCTGAGAAAAGTCTAGAGAACTATTGCTCAAGATACTTTAAAAATGACAAGGTCTGATCCCTTGAAAGCAAAATTCAAGAAATAAGGAGTGACTTTTGTACAGTACTGTAACAACAAAATACCGGTGAGAAAAAAGTTCGAATTAAATTAATTACAAATACTGGGTTATTTTTCATGAAAAAAAACTTGGAAATTGATTAATGTTATACAGGATGGCAAATGATCAAAAAGTACCATAACTGATAGGGAAGAAATAAGAATGGATTTAATTTATTTGGCAGATTTGAAGTGCCGATCCGTTTTTCTCAGCTAAGCTACGCAGAAGCTGGAAAAAAACATTCTGGGCAAAATATTGATTGTCGAGAGCCACTTGAGAAGCATCTTCTCATTCATTTGAGGAAGAACACTTTGTTGTACTACTCCAACATGTCTGGACTGTGTTTAATCTTGCAGACCAGTACAAGCCCTTGCTACCCTTGATTTTTTGTCAAACTGCTGTTTTCACTCTGAACGGCTGCTACACAGATGTCAACTGCCTACAATTCATTACACTGGACTATAGTTTCAGTTGAAAAATGACTCATATGTCCTGTCTGATATGTGTATGCTGGTCTTCAAAGCAATGTTTTGTCCTGTTGAGTTTGGCCTCTACTGTAGCCTTCAGTTTACTGCGGTCTCCTGACACGAGTGTCATTAATCATATTTTGGGTGTTAGCACATTGGCGAACAAGCCCTTGTTGGCTTGAAAAAACTAATAAAAAATAAATAAAATAAAATAAAAAATCCACGTGTGTACATACAGTACTATCTGTAGTACTCTTTCATTCCAGCTGCAGCTGTGACTACCTCTGGAAACTTTCTTGCTAACGTCAAGGCTGCACAGTTAAGAACAGAGACAGTAAAACTACTTTACAGTCCACTTCACTTATAGCAAAATTTTGGACTTCACATAAAACATCAACACATGAAATGAATGCTACTTAAGAAAGTTTTATACTCACATATGCTGCTTCTTTCTCTCACAGCTGCTATCATTCTGACATTCAAAGATGAGCTACCTTTTGTCATCCTGCATCTTTAGCTCTTTTTCTCTCCCACTCACACGCACACATTTGCACACATTTTCTTTTAGTCTTACTTAGTCACCCTCTATTCCTCAGTGCTCAGTTAATCTCTTTGGATGTGCCATTAATAAACCTTTTCATTAAGCTCTTATTCTCATTATTCACTGCAACTGAGGCTATTTAGTTGCTACACAGAACCCACATACCCTCTGTCTTGCTTTCTCTTTGTTTTTCACACTCACACACAGTGGAAAAAACCCACTGAATTTTAAAGATGGAGAATTTGAATTAGCAAGTGTCTGATGTGTGTTTGTAAGTATTTATGCATACTGTCAAACGACAGGCGTTTAGAGATCAGCTTTCCTTTGAATTTTAACGCGCACGCGCATGCACTCAGAGGTGGTATGGATTAATGGCTTGCTAAATGAGCTGACAGCAAACACTTCAAGACTTGTCTTTATAAGCTGATTTTGCACGACTGAGGGGGGAAGGAAATAGAGGATAGAGGAAAAATGACACTGAGGTATAAAAAGAAGAAAAATGAATGGAAAACACACAAGAGTAGTCAGGAACATGTATTATAATGTGTAATAACTGTAGAAGATAGGTACTTATTCTAAAAAATAAATAGTATTAAAATGGTAACGGACCTAAAGATCAACCTCTGTCCCTTGACTCCCAAGTAAAATATTTATATAAGCAAGATTTGAGTGTTGTAAATACTTTCTATACTCAAACAAGCAAAAAGAGGTAGAAAGTAAAATGGAGGAGAAAAGGAAAAACAATGGAACAGGCAAACAGAGACTGAGCATAAAAAAACAAGACTGAAAGTCGCTCGAAAGATAAAGGATTTTGGATCACAGCCTGTGTCTTGTTGTAATGTGCATTTCTGCAGTTTTTGCATTCAGTGTGCAGAGCCCTGGAGAACAACATCACAACAATGAAACTACATTCGTCGATCATCTATTCTCCTCTCAAATCCCTCCTGCCTGATTACAAGTGCCAAGATTATGCTTTCAAGATTCCTCTTAAACAGTGAGAAGCAAACAAGTAACAGAGCTCACTCGCCATAAATCCCCAATCACATATTGGCTGTAATGGTAATCTAGGTCTGGGCTTTACAAAATATGGAAGCAATACAAGCTACGATGGGGTGTAAATACGCTGCTAGAGAGCATGAGTGGGTTCAAATCCCATCACAGGCCTTGTGGGGCAGAGAAAATTGGTGTGACATCATGACTCAATGTTAAAATGCAGGATAAATACTATGACAAAGACATCAACAGCTTTATCCCTTTTTCAGAGCAGGAAAGTTAAATCTTCACATTTCCAATTAAAGCTGCTGGTAGAACTGGTATTTGAAGTCCTAAATGTGGAATAATTCTCACTTTTTTAACAACTATTGTTTTCATTTTCACTACATTCTCAGTGGAATTGACCATGGCATACTTGATTCCTGGATTATAGAATAAAGAATTAAAAATATACTCTTGCCATTAAATATAAAATTTACTTGTTTACCTTTTGAACAGTGAACGTCCGTATGACATATTCCGCCAGTGGTTCAGTCTCTATGAGGGTCACCTTGATGTCTCCGTACACCTCTGTCTCATCAGGCCAGTAACGAACACACTTCACCTGGAAAAGATCGTTTTTATTGTCATTGTGTTTTAAAATATGCCTTACGTGGTGTTGATTATCTCCCCATGAGCATCAAGAGGCAGAGATGATACTGATTAGAAATTCGCAAAGTAATTCAGTAGTGTGACTGGAGGAAAACTAGAGCTCCAGGTAAAACAACAGCACATATAACTAGATCATACATATATACATATAGACACACACAGAGATATACATATACTTTATTTACTTCTAATACACACATTTTTGGAGCTGCTTGGATGATAAACTCACCCTTCCCACTTCCACAAGGTTTGTAACCATGACGATAGAGGCCGAATTCTCCTGCCACACCATTCTCCAGAAATCCCTCACCGTCTCTTGCATGGGCCCTGACAGACAAACACACACACACAGTGTAAACATTTTGATACACATAAACAAGCATACAGATATAGGTGTGTAAATAAGCATATGTTCATTCCAATGCCACGTAAAAATGTCAGCACTGGTAGTACAGACTTGCACAAACACACCCATACAGACACACACATGTATTTGAACACCATCAATCCCAGATAGTAGTTTGGGGGTTTGAGGTAATGGGGTCTTAAATTTGTCAGGGGGGTTTTATACGGCAGTTTAGATTTAGGAGGTTGTGGTAATAGCCTTCCAGTCCGAGAGGACGACATTTACCAGGTGGGTCCTACACGCATACACACACACACACACAAATAGGATCACATGCACACATTCGTATCTACACAAATGTGGAAGCACGCATTAGTGCTTCTCACACACACTTATCACGTCAGTTTAATTACCTTGTGTGGCGATGTAATGTCTGGGTCTATGGTACCCCTGCGAGACAGAAAAAAGGAAGCAATAAAAAAATATGTATCGCCACACTTTTGTCATATCCATTTTTCTCTTTATATTCTTTATTTTTCCTATCCAACATCCAAATTTCCTCTATTTTTAGCACATTGTTTTTCAAGAATTCTCATTCCTACTCACTATTTTTTCCAGGGAATCAGTCTTCACCCATCTCCCGCTATTTCGGCTGTTTTCCTTTTCACTCCCCAAAGTTAGATAAAGTGTTACATTTTGCATTTTTAAGCAAAATATACTAAAAAATTCCTGCCCTATTCTTTCATTCAGTTTTTCCCAATTGTGCTGCCTTTTCTTCACTTCACTTCTCCCCGTTGTTAGTCATCTTCTCATTCATTCATCATCTCTCACTCTCCTTCTCTGTCTTGTCTTCACGTTCAGTTTTTTCCATGTTTTATCCTTCATTTTTTCCCAGTCACTAAATTTTCCCTCTGTTGGATAAAAAGACACCGGTCTCCAACCAGCGATTATTTCTCTCTCTTGTCCCATCACGATTCCCTATAAGATGGATAACCTTGTTGAGATAAAAGCATTTATCATTTTCACTTTGCCATTAGAATCACTTTGTGAGCATGACGTTATCTTCACGGGGGGATGTGTTTTACTTTTTCAATTCTTTTCTTTTCTTCTTAAGAAACAATCTAGTCTGTGAGACTGATTTTGTACCAGATTTATTAAGACTACCATTACAACAGTAAGCTGTGAGCAGGAGATTAAATCAATAAGTGAAGCACAATACCTGCAGGGGAGAGAGGAAGGGAGTAAAAACGAACGATGGATGGATGGATAAGGAAAGGTAATAAGAGGGACACACAGTGGGAGGTGATGGAATGACTGATGTAATTAAAGGAGGAAAGGGTAAACAAGGAGGGGGGTATGTTTTCCCCCTTTTAATTTTTTTTATGTGCCCGTTGGTGAAGGAATGGAGTCCAAAGGGGGGAAAAAAACAACACTGATGGTTTTATCTGCTGTGGTAACCTTAACTAAGGACCTGATTCACTGGTACAAATTTAAAGCAATATTGTTTGTGTGCAGAGGCAGGTGTCTGCATCTGATTTGAAACTGAGAATATGACATCATCCATACTATTGACTGACTGACTGGCATCCATACTATTTGATATTCAGGGCATCCATGCAGAAAGAGACTATTACAACCTGTGAGGACATGTCAGTGAAACTCACATAAAATAATAACTATTTGTGAGGCAAAGGGTGTGCTTTCCAAGTTAGACGTCTCTCAAGTTTCAACCAAGTGATGTAAGCAGCTACCAACAGGAGCAAATACTACAGCTGGCATATGATGAAGTTGTAAACACAGTAGAGGGTTTCCTACACAAGACTCATTGTTTGGATCATCACTACAGTGTATGTGTGCATGTGTGTGTGTTCGAGTGTAGTTGTGTAAACACTCACGTCAATATAATTGGCATTGATGTAGTCAGAGTGGGGGTCTCCATCCAGCAACTGCAGTCGGACTCTGGTGTGATCGTCTGTGGGATCAGATAGCACAAAAATACAACAGGCCTAAAGTTACATTTACCCACAGATCGGAAAAACTAACTGACTGGAGGGGGAACTAGCTAACCAGGCCCAAGGTTATGAGTCCAAACAACAAATGTAAGTGCACTTTTCCTGCTGCTGTTGCCTGTTCTTTGTAATTGTTGATGGATCAAGTCCTGTCTCCTGTTAATAGTCAGCATTGGCGTCTTTTACCTGAGTAGATAACCTTTAGTTAATCTTGACTAAGCAAGATAGTTAAAGTTAAAAAGTTAAATTGTGTCACCCAGAAACACCAAACATCCTCAGTTCCCTTGGTATAGTTTTATTTCGACACTTCATTTCAAATGTTTTTTTCCCCCACTTTAGTTCATTTGGTCTCAGAGCAGTTCCATTCAGATGATCTGAATGGGTATGACAGAAGCAAACACATAAAAGTATTAAAGTAACATTTTGTGCATAACTCCCCAGTGCAGATTTATGACAAATATCATTTGCATAAGTCAGGATGATGGGACAAATTCTGTTTCCATTACTTGCTGCCTCTGTCAGCAAATGCTATTGCATTTACTACCAAATGACAAGCAACACAGATTTATTTGTCTCACAGGCTTTTTCGGGTACTATGCAATGATTCCTTTTAGCTGTAAAAGCTGTTGAACAAATTGTTCAAATGAAATGTCTACTGTACCATTTGCAAACAGTGACATGTGATCACCGAATGAGAAAAAAAGATGGCTTTGGACTTCTCTTCTGCTTTGAAATAGTTGCTGGAATAGCAAAATCAAGAGAAATTGTGGACATAATCCAGAGCTAATAGTTCAAAGTGCAAGCAGCAACAGTACTTCTTCATAGTAATATGACCCAGTAGGCACCATTTGTCAATAAAAGCCGCAATCCGTCCTCTTTTTCTATAACCGCTTGGATTTTATCCACGACTGTCTGAAGATCGCTAATGGTAACAGTGGGATCCAGAGTCATTTCTTTGGCAATTTCTCACATGTAATGTGTGTAAGATACATTTTTGTTGCTCTCGCTGGGATGCATCTCCAGTGATGTTTCTGAAGTCATGAGATGTTTTGGGTTTTTCAACATCAGACGCCCTCGCACAGATCAATTTCCAACTTTCATCCCATCAGCAGCCCATGGGTGGCCATTTTTATTTCCAATTCCTTACTATTAGCGTATCTGTTTTTGTGTCCCATGAGACTTATATCTCCTCTTCTCTCTCAGTCACGGTTGTTAGAATGGAACTTTGTTCTTCCTGCTTCTTTAGCATGTCAGCATCTCCTGTTTTCTGCAGGTATGTCCATTTTTTGGACAATGACAGTAAATGGTAAATGGTAAATGGCCTGTATTTATATAGCGCTTTACTAGTCCCTAAGGACCCCAAAGCGCTTTACATATCCAGTCATCCACCCATTCACACACAGTAAGTGTCCAGAGATGGCACAGTTTTAAAAAGAGTTAAAATAAATCCAGGTAGAGAAGTATCACATATTCAAATAGCACAAGCACATATACAAACACAAGTTGTTACATCTCAAGGAGTTTATGAAGTTAGAGTGAAGGTTCAACACACCAGACCTATAAGTCCCAAAAACCTAATAATAATAAATAAAATTATAAATAAATAAATTGATAATCACAAGACTATTTTTACAATCTATAAGAATTTTAATATATCTTTGAATCTCAGATTATCTGTAATAATCATAACAGCAGAACCTCTCACCTCACTCACTGTTCACCCTCATTATCCATGTCACCATGATGAATTATTTTTTTCTTTTTCTTTTTGAGTGTCAATTATTTTGTTCTTGGCTGTATAATAGCTATCTATAGCATTGGGACACATATGAGTTATTAAGTGTAATGGGAGGCAGTGATTTTTTTTCTTTTTAAACTTAGTTGTAACATAGCAACAGCAGGTAATTGCAGATGATGGGGACAAATAAGAATGATTGCACTGCTTCTTGAAAGTTTTTAATTTTTTGAAAAAGAAAGAAAGAAAGCGAATACAGACTAAATGGAAAAGAGCAGGTCGGTAAATGTGAGATATTACAAAGAAAACAAGAAGACAAGAGCAGAAGAGAGGTAAAAATTATGTCACGTGTAGTTGGCAAGTATAAGATAAAGATAAATAACATAAGAGGCTAGGAGAAATGTGGAATGTTGTTACCTTTCAGTCTCTGAAATGGCATCTCATAAATATTTCTGTCATCCTGGTCATCATCCTAGTATAAAATGACGCACATCTTTGGTTGTTGAGCAGCCTAGACCTCTGAACTGTGGTAGCAATTGAGAATGCTTGGGATGGAACAACGTAACAACGTAACAACTGAAACCATGAATTAAACTTCTAGTATTTCTGCAGGATTTATTTTTTACTCATTTTGAATTGAGTTGTTAATTCAAATTGTAAATTGTTAAACTGCTTCAGAAACAGAGCTTTTATGTTAGCAGATCTACTGTGTGGTTGATGACTCATGCATTCAATGGAAACCATTTTCTCTGGGTTTATAGAGTTGCATGGGAGCAATCATTATGTTAAAAAGGCGTTAACATTTTTTTTGTTTTGATGACTATCTTAGAATTGATGTGTGAATTCATTTCCATTCATAGCTGGCACAAAATGAGGCCTGCAGCGGAGTAAACATACTCAGAAGTAGGATAAAATTGCAGGGACCGTTAACTTTTTTTAACAAGCAAAATCATTTAGAACATACAGCATGTATTTGGATTTTCTATAATAAGGATGTTGCCAAGCAGCTGAACAATATCCTGGAAAGCATAAGAGTGTACTATTTATTTAGATGACGTTAAAGGTGATATGATTTTTTTTAACTACTTTTTAAATTAAGAAGGTAACAAACACCATTTGTTGATAAAGATCATAAAATGGGTCCAAATCTTCAGTGAGAGCTAGGACATTTCTAGTGGTTCTGACAAAAGAAAAAAAAACAGGAAAATAAAAATCCGCACATTTTTCTTAAATTCCTATTCAATTACAATTCGAATGAGCCAAACCCATCTCTGATTCGGCAAGTGGCCAATCTATTGCAGGTCTAACAGAGAGAGACAAGTTCTCAGAAACACTGCTTAACATACGTGTCCATGTCCAGGTTTGAGCCTACACCAACAAAGTTTTTAATATTTCATTGTTTCATTAATCATTGCTGTAAATAATTCTCTACAGTCTTCAAAATGTAAAAAATATGCAGTCTGTATGCTGAATTTGAGAAAAACTTTAATATTTCAGCAACTAAAATGTGTCATAGCTCATATCTATCACCTAACACCTTATTTTGTTTATTTTGTCACAGAGTAGAATAGAAAATTTGACATCACATGGACAGTCATTTTATATAATTTTTACATGGAACAAAAACATTCGATAATTTTAATGGTGATTCAAGGTTCAAGTACCAAAAAAACCCCATCACAAATAGCCCATTGCAGAATGGTCACACAGCCTATTAAGTATGTGATTCATACTTAATAGGCTTTATTATAAGGCTCCAATGTGCAGATGAGCTATGTTACTCCAAGCACATTTTTTTGGTAAAACATCTCTCAAAATGGTGCTTTTAATAGCCAGACCATGGTGTAGATGTATTTAGCTCAAGTTCTTAGCTCTCAAATGGAATCAGTTGCTGGCCAACCTTTACATCTGTGATAAGCTGTTTATCTGTAAGCTTAGTGCAGTCTCAGTAATGTTCAGAAGCTGAAACTTTGGAGTTTAAACCTTTCATGTAGACTCTTGCAGACATTTGTTTCAGTGCAGAAGAGTAAAAATGAAAATAAATGTAAGTATAAAAGCAAAGACATCTTTGACTGTACATGCTTTTGCTGATTTGTTATTTATTTTGTATTTTTTTCCAAAAATTAGGGAGAAGAATGTGGGCTCGGCGTACGTAAACATTGCTTTAGACTGAGCCTGTTCATTGATTATATTGTACATTAGACTGTGAAGTTTATATGTACTATTTAGCCTGTGCGTATAACATGTGGCGACTGAACAACATAAACTTAATAAACTAAGTGACATCTTGTGTAAACATCTACAAAATGCTGCACTCGGGGTTATCCCTGAATTCTGTTGCATCCCTTGGCCAAATTACAGAACCAAGGGTTTCACGATCACTTAATATGAAAAGACGACTGCATAGAAAGGTCATGACCGTCAGTAGGAATTACCCCAGGACTGCATTAAAACAGCCACTGCAAGTATGACAAGCCTCAACTGCAGACTATTCATCCACACGGTCAGGTGAGTTAAAGCACAGAATACAGTACAAATTCTTAGAATAACAACATATAACACCTTGATTATCACTTTTAGGATCACCTTGAGGAGAATTATTTGTATAACTGCTATCAGAGTAATGTTGCAGCTCTGGCTGGGCAGCAACAATGATGGCAGCATGACGCCACTCTGCTGGTACAAGATTCTGTCATCAGCTATCAGCGCACTCACACTCACGCTCTCAACTCTCTCACTCTCTCAGTCACTCAGTCAAACACACACATGCGCACACACAAAAATACACAGCATGTAAAAACAAACACAACAGGAGGTAGTCTGCCAGCCGTCTGCTCGTTCCCTCTCTGTCTTTTTCTTCCTTCTGTTCTCCCTCTTTTACTCCGTTTCTCATCTGCCTCTTCGATTTCTATTCCTTTTCTTTGCTGATCCTGTCCATTTCTGTCTACCTCCTCCTCTCCTCACTTCTCCCCCTCCACGGTCTTCTTTCAGCTACCTGTCTCTCCCCCCCTCTCTCTCTCATTCCCCATGCCATCTTGCTCCTTCAGACAGCAGTAATTACGCAGGGCTAGTGTCAGAGGCTGTCATAACACAGAAGCCACTGATATGAGGCTGGAGGAAAGAAGGAAGGGGCCCTTCCCACTAGCCTGCACGGGGAGGGGAGCTTCTAATTGGGCTCAAATAGCAGGAGGTACTGGCTTGAAAACACTACAGATGTGGACATGGGGC